ACCCGGACCAAACAGACTCTTATGAGCATCTCCAATGCTACAATGTGCACGGTGCGCCTGTGACGTGAAAGATGATAACTCGTGCCTTTATACTATAACGGTTCCTATCTAACCCATATGAATTGTTAGTTATAGAAGGTGTATTTTGCACTAGTGTGCACATGTGACATGAAAGAGATAGACACAAAAAAATAATTTTTTGACATTTCTCTCTCTTTCTTTCCACGGTTTCGTGTGTTTTTGGTAAGTTTTTCTTCACATCTAGACATTGTGCTTGACATTGTAGAGAAAAACTTACCAAAAATACATAAGATCGTTTAAATAAGGAGAAATATATTCTATTTGTTGTTTTTTAATTGTCTATCTCTTGTACCACATATGCATGGTTCACGTTTTTGCGGAGATGCTCTAATTTAATGAAATTTCTAAAATTATACGGAGTAACTAAAGCAGCTCAGTTAGATAAGTCTATTGAATCATAAGAAAAAAATATACTCCGGTACTCGTATTTAAAATTTGTATCGTCATAACTAATAACTCCAAAAGATACTAGGGATATAACAATGGGATATGATGCATATATGACATGTGTTATTACTATTTCCCTCTAAACAAAGATGCGTCCTTATTTTTAGTAAACTCATTTCAATATCAAATAAGATTTAAAAAGATTAGTTCATATCACACTAGACTTACGTAGATGAAAGTAGAGTTAGATATTAAAAAAGTACACATACACCAACGTCTATGGTACAAGTTCAAGTTAGACCAGACTTAAACAAATTTAGATCAGATTAGACTCACACAAACCTCAAGCTAGACCAAGACAGAATATAAAATTTCAATACAATTTTAAAACATCATAACTGGTCAATTTAAATTTGGCATAAATTTAAATAGTTAAATATTGCACACTTAAATCTTCAATGTTTTTAAAACATTTAATATTACGTATGATATACTTATGAAGAAACTTTTTAAAATACTTTGGTTTTAAGAAAATGGTTAGCATAAATATAATTTAAGTTATATTTCTAAAATAGTTATTTCATAGAAGAAAATTTATAAAAATAAGAAAATATACCTTCAAAACTCATCTAAAAGACATTGCATTACACATATAAAGATATGTTAGAACTTTTAATAAAAGATAACACTGTTATCCCGTTTTATGTGTCTTGTTTTAGTTCATTACAATTATTAAAAAAATGATTCAAAAATAAAAATTATGATTGATGTTTGAGTAATAAAATGATGTGAAATGATATGGATCATGTATTTTTTGTCAAAAAGTAAAATAAGTCATTTATATTTGGATGATTCACAAAGAAAGCAAGACAAATGAAACGAGTCGTAGTGTTTTCTTATAAAAAAGAATATGACATTTATTTTGTAGACAACCTACATACAAAAGAAAGTACTACGTAAAACATAAAGTGAGACAGAGGAGTATATTTTTAAAGTATTGACATTTTAGGCACTTAAAAACAAACCAATCTTCTTTTGTGACTTTTATGATTCTAAAAGAGATCATACTTGATCAAAATCAAATTAGGCCAATCAGATGAGACCATTTCATTCATAAAACAGACTATTATTAAATAAACCAAACCTATAAATTTGACTATTGTGAAATAAATCCTGAATTCCCCTCTAGTTTGAATTATTTGTACGTGACATGTTTGTAATTTATAGCTAAGTTATGTTGAGGATGGATTTGCATTTGAAACCAAACAATAAAGACATGTTTACATTATGTTATATTTTATGTTGTAATTCTATATTAACTGAATGTATTAACTGAATGTGCTGAATCTATTGAAAATAATGGAATTCTAAAGAGCGGAATTAACGGAATATACTGAATTATAAAAAAAAGGTGTATCTAAAATTAATTTTTATGAATAAAATAAAGAAAAAATACATGAAAATAACTAATTGATTTTTCATAGTATTTTCAGTCAATTTAATGACTAAAATCAGAAATAAAGGTAATAAACACAAAATAGAGATTATAGGAAAGTTTGAAAGACTTGCACATGATAACTTAGAATTCGATGGCCTAACGTTAAATAGAAACCTTTTTTACTCCGAAAACCGAAAAAACAAAGTCAAAGGAGTTAGTGTCGGAGCAGCACGCGCAGCCACACCAATATGTTCCGGCACTATTTTTTTCGTACAAGTAAATTGGGCCAATATTTGAGGGCATTTCCGTAATAACACAACATCGGGACACATGGGTGACAGAAGAGGGTCCATAATTGATATAATGATTATCAACAACAATTATAACGAATTTTCTCCACACAAAAAAGAACAATAAAATTTCTAAAACGAAAATACCCTCCGTCCCGGAAATAAGTTCTCGCTTTTTTTATTTGGATGCCCCAAAATAAACTTCGCATTTCCTTATTTGACAAATTATCTACATCAAAACAGTGCCAAACAGCGTTAAAACAATGTTGAAACAGTAAAATTTACCTCTAAGTAAATTTATTTTCTAAAAATGTGTGGAAATCAACCCGGGAACTTGTTTCCAGGACGGAGGTAGTAAGTTTGTATTTTAGTGCCTGCGTTTTAAAATAAATTCCGGTTTTTGTTGAAGTTTTGTTTATTGTTATTTTTATTTTATTTGTTTATTTTAGATTGGTGGATTATATGCGTAATTCGAGTTTGGAATTTTACCATAACTTGTAAACAAAAGTGCCACTCTAATAGTGACATTAGTAGAAAAATTGTCACCATGATGATTATCAGAAAATTAGAAACAAGAAAATCAATATTAATCTTAATATGAAATTAATATTATACTAGGTATATCAATATTATTTAAAACTAGTTTTTTATATATGACTAAACTAATCATGATTGATGAAAAATGATTTAGTAATTTTTAGTGACTATTATTATGTTCAATTTTATACCGTAACGACCTTGAAATACTCTAATAATTGTAATCACATTTTGTCCATAAATATATTTAGTACGGAGTAATATTTTGAAAAACTGTATTACTTATATGTACCTGAAACTTAATATTAAGATAAATTTCGTTTGGAACCGAATAGTTGGTGATAAAAACAATAAAAAAAGAATAATTAAAAAGAATTGTTAGTGATCCGAGAGAGTTATGCTTGTGTTAATATTTGTGTGGTTGTATTTTTGATTAATTTGATTCGAGAATAGGTTTTAAAATAAAAATGATAAGATGATGATCTTTCGTTTGGGATTTTACCGGTCAACCCAAACCCAAGCAACCAAAAACTCAATTGAAATATAACGCGTCTTGTTCTGGTCTCTAATATTTGTAATTGGATAATTTTAGAGTTTAGCAAAATCTTGATCAACTCATTCTACCTCTATTGAGGGACACAAATGTATTATGGAGTATATTATTGATAAGAAGTATTACCGCTGTTCCACTAAGGATGATTTTACTTAGGGGTAGTTCGGTACATTACACCGAATATTTTCTAGGGAAAATTCCCGAAATAGGACTAAAACAGTTTGAAAATTCCAAAATAGGACTGACATGCTTTTTATTCCCAAAATAGGAGCAATTACTGCCAAATTGGGAACATTCCCGAAATAGGAGTAAATAAGTTGGAAATTCCAAAATAAGACTGTCATATTTTTATTCCAAAAATATGAGTAATTACTATCAAGTTTAGAAAAAAATGTCATGTTTAAAGTCTGATACTGCCAAAACATGACATTAATTAGTCCTATTTTGGGAATAAAAACATGACAGTCATATTTTGGAATATACAAAGGTTTTTAGTCCTATTTAGGCTAATTTCCCATTTTATTTTCTATCATACCTTTGTTGTACTAAAGTTATATACCGTTCCCTTACCGAAATATCGATATACCATATTTCGGTATACCATGTCCAACGGTACAGTATCGATAAATTATCATGCATGTTACTCAATATAACAAATTATTATAGACTTATACAACCTAAAATAACTTAAACAATGTAGATGTAGTTGAATTAATATTGATCTCTAACAAAGATTTAAAATTTTTCAACCAACATGGATATAAAAACATTTATTTATCTGTAATATGATGTTGTGTAATTAGCCATTTTTATAATTTTATAGAAATATTTGAATAGGTCTTTCGGTATAACGGTATACCAATATACCTTTTATTTTCAAAACATATAACGAAATTTCCCAAACCTTAATTTTACTTGGGTTGTTCTCAGATCTAGACCATATCTGATCAGACCGGACTGAATCAGACATGTACATTGTACATTTATAAAATACTACCTCTGTTTTCTTTTAAATGCAACATTAGATTTTTGCATTATTCACATTTTAAAAATACTCGTTTAAATTTCTTTTGCTTTTGACTCTGTTTATTTGTTAATGTATTACTCGTTTAAATTTAAAAAATACTTTTAAATTCCTCTCATTTTAAAATTTTGAAATCTATTTTTTAAGTTTTTACTAATAAGGAATGAAAAATATTAATGATCAAACATGTGCATTGACAAGTGTGAAAAATGGATCGTTGCAATTAAAGAAGAACGGGTGAAGTGTATAGAGACTAGATCAGGCCAACAAAATTCATTTCAACTAAAAATACCCCAAATATTGGAACATGAGAAGATGATGCAGTTATAAAAAAACGCAATTATATGATTGATATTGAATGATCAAATAAGAATAAAATAAGTTTTTTTTAGAATCAGATAAATTTTATCAATTTTTGGTACATAGTATAATATAATCCGGGAAAAATAAAAAAAGAAAGACGAGACCATATAAGTTGGGGGTAATAAATGTACAAAAGGACCATATAAATTTGAGTTTGTACAAAAGGATAATAATTGACGAAATAAAAACAATTACTCCATCCGTTAGAAATACCCGTGAAAAAGCTCGCGGACGCGAAACTCGACTGAAATACGATTCATAACTTTGTTGAGATCCGTATAGTTCAATACACCTTCTCTCTCCTCGCCATAGAAAAAAAAAGAAAAAAGAGAAGGAAAATAAAATGTAGAGAAAAGAAAACAAATCCCTTCCTTCTCTATGATTTTCCCTTCCCCTTATTTCTTTCTTTTGTTCCCATTCTCTCTTATCGGCTCACAGAAACTCAGAAGCACAGGCACTTCGTCTCCTTTAGAGAGAGAGAGGGGGGGTTCTTCTAGAGCGAGAAAGATCAATTTAACCCGGTTTTCCCACCTAGTAAAACCTAACCCTAGTTTTGTTGGGTAGGTTTTGGTTCTTCCCACTGGTAGATTTTGTTCGCGCGCCTCGGCTTGGCTTCTGGGTAGTGGGGGATGCGATTGGACCGGAGGACAGGAGAATTAGGATTGTGGAAAGTTATTGATGCCGCCAGAGCCGTCTCCTTGGGATCGGAAGGACTTCTTCAGGGAGAGGAAGCACGAGCGTTCGGAGTTGTCCGGAGGTGGAGGGGGCGGCTCCAGTGGTTTTGGAGGGTCCAGATGGAGGGAGCATCCGTTGAACCACCATCACTATAGCTCTTCTCGCTGGGCATCAGATTTCCGCGGTAGATATCCTTCTGGTAAGTTTTTCTTTACCCTTCTCGTGTGAAGAAGGGGTGGGGTGTGGTTCCGCTTAATATTTCGGGTTTATTGATGTTTTCCAATAGCAGTTATATTATTTATTCGGAGGAGGACAGCCGAGGCTATACTGGCTTTTCTCAAAACCTTTTTCTTTATCGGTTTCAAAATAGAATTGCATGAAACATTTAACTGCGTGGGTACGTTGTGGATGTTCATTGGCCATATGATGAGAATTGTTTTAGTTGTGAGTTAGGTTTCATTCGTTCTAGATCCACAGAAGTCTGTACGCGCAAGTTAGGCAAGTGAAAATCTGGGTTTTAGGTTGAGTAAGAATGTGTAGTGTTTTAAGAAAGGTAAATACCTGTTTCTCTTTCAGATCTGACGGGCATATCACAAAATATTGTTTTGATTTTTACTTATTGTTGGGTAGATTACTCTAGATCTACACAAATCTACTTTGTTTCCTTTTGTGGTCAGCTGGAGTTCTTCAATATTTCCTAACAGTTTAAGTTTCTAATACTTTTGCGGTTTCATAGATAATGATGTATTCTCAGGTTGTCAATTTTATGCATAAAATTTATGTCTTCGGGGGTTCTATATTAGCTTATTTTGACAGTTTTGTTATTTCCTGCTTTAGGTCATGGTAAGCAGGGTGGCTGGCATATGTATCCAGAGGAATCGACTCATGGCTTCATGGCATCAAGGTCCAGTGAAAAGATTTCAGAAGAGGACAGTGGTCGCTATTCCGGTTCTCGAGGTGAGGGAAAGTCTAGCAGAAATGGAAGGGAAAATAGAGGGTCATTTGGTCAAAGGGATTGGAGATGCCATTCTTGGGAGACCTCTTCTCCTAATGGACCAGGACGAATGAATGAGACAAGTGATCAGAGGTTGGGGGATGGAATGATGAATTACCATTCTTCTCAAGCTCATTCTGACTATGCCAATGCACGTGATCAGTCTCACTCTAGGGACCAGCACATTAAGAATAATGTTAATGATATAAGAACAGTGGGAAGCACTGGGCAAAGGCTTGAAAGGGAGAACTCTCAAGAATGGAAACATCTAAAGTGGACACGCTCAGGAAGTCTGTCTTCACGGGGTTCCTTCAGTCACTCATGCAGTTCTAAGAGCATGGGAATGGAGTCCCATGATGCAAAGACTGAGACACATCCCCGAAATCTAACACCTATTCAGTCTCCTTCTGGGGATGCAACTGCCTGTGTGACGTCATCTGCTCCCTTGGAAGAGACTAATTCTCGCAAGAAACCACGCCTTGGTTGGGGGGAAGGCCTTGCAAAATATGAGAAGAAGAAGGTTGAAGGCCCTGAAGAAGGTCCTGCCAAGATTGGTACTTTTAATTCCGGTAGCAATTTGGAAGCTAACCATTTTAGTCCTGCAGTTCTTGCGGATAAGAATCCCCAAATTGCAGCTTCATCTGACTGTGCATCACCAACTACTCCATCATCAGTTGCATGTAGTTCCTCACCAGGTAATTATACATGCATCATTTAAAGAAAAAGCATGTTAGATCATCATGAAGTATATTTAATTACATAGTGTTTCATATTTAATAATTAAAAGCGCCCACAACCCTAAAATGAGAAAAGGAAGAATTTGAACACAAACATATTAAGTTTTCCAAACGAGGCTGTAAAAGATGTTTTTGACTTAAAAGCCCGAGGGCCATTAATGATATTTTGTTGCTCATAAGAGGATAACGTTGATGAACTTGTTAGGATGTGTAAAGGTACATTCGAGCGTGGATGGAAAAGGAATAAGCTATTTATTGAGAATTTTAGAATTCGCAGTATCACCTTCACGATAGTTAGTATGCTCCTGTATCCCATTTTGTGGTATATATAATAATAATTTCTATTCATTAGCTAGAACTATTCTCTATCTCCTTATCCCATTTGGAAGTATGGTCTGATTAGGGTGAGATGCACACAGGTCTTTCCTGCCGATATGATTAGAAATGCTGTTTCCTAATTTTAATATTTTTTTCTTTCCTTGTTTTATTAAGTACTCCCTCCGTCCCGCAAAATAGTTCCCGGTTTCCTTTTCGGGCCGTCCCAAAAAATAGTTCCCATTTCCCCTTTTGGAAAGTTTTGTGTGGCTCACATTCATTTACCTTTCTTACACAACCATACAGTTCTACTTTATTCCCACTTTCTTAAACTCCGATCCAAGTCAATGCGGGAACAATTTTATGGGACGGAGGGAGTATTTTATTTAATTTGAAATTCAGTTTAGGGTCAAATCTACTTCTATATGTTAATTAATGACAGAATAACTTTCTTAATAAGCCTGCCTAGTCAAAGTGAGAATAATATTTTGGGGCAGAGGCGGACATTATTTTAATGATATATTTTTATACTAATTGTTCAAGAATATGTTCTTGTTATTAATTAATACATGATACGTAGTACAACTTATGAAAATTTAATGGTCAAAGTCGCTTAGAAGGCTAGAATATGTTCGTGTTGTAAATTCATAAGGAGTATAGTTTATGAAAATTTAATGGTCAAGGTGATTGAGCACTGACTAAAATCAAAGTTGGTTTTTAGGGGAAAGGTGCAGTAAAATATACAATATTCATTATTCTAATGAGAAATTATATTATGAATATGTACTTTCTTTTAGTCATCATATTCTTCATAGAATGTGGCATGCACGTCAACTAATAATCCATCGGCTTGACTATTGGCCCTGTCTTATGACTCAGTTGACCACCGGTTGGAGTTATAAACCACTGGTTTGGATGGTCAAGTGTAGCTTGGTAAGCGGTTTGAGTCTCGTTTCATTTTTACTATCTAGGCTAGAGTTCTGTTTGAGTTTTGGTTTTATTCATCTTGTTGGGTGGGGTTGACTTAATTAAACCTCGATTGGTATTTGAACTTGGCTTGTGCTTCAATAATTGTTGCCTTTTAAACTTTATTTACAAAATCTATGATGACACATGTAAAATATCCAGCACTTTGTTTTTAACTGGTTTATACTTTATATGAACACCATATTAGTTCAGTTAACTAAAATTAAACTTAAATGCTCTTTTGGGTTGAAATGTTAATCTTGTCAAGTTATGTGAGATAAGTGGCTAGCTTAGTTAGTTGGTTTGAAGTGCTTTGTCAATTAGCCTGATTGGTTCACTCTTGGTCTAGTATAAAATTGATACTTCCGAGTGTGGGTTGGCGGTTCTGAATATTTACCCAGTTTCCCCCAAGTGAAAGCTTGCACTCTTAACACCCATGTGGTGGGACCCTTGCCTGGACCCCCGCCTTGCTGCGACGCCTATGTGCACCGGGTTACCCTTTTTACCCAGCTGTCCCCCAAATCTCTATGTTTTGTTTAAATCTAAATTTGTCATGCTCGTCTTATATGAGTATCCTTGTTATTAGTCAAGTACTTATGCAAATTCTTTGCTATGTTTCTATTGTTGCAGGGATTGAGGAGAAATCATTTTTGAAAGAAACAAATGCTGATCACAACTTGGCTGGTATAATCGGATCACCCAGTTCTGCCCCTCCTAGTCGTTCTGAGGTCATGTTTAACATGGAGAATTCAGATGTCACTACAATCTCCAAGTTGAACGCTAAAATTGATGAACTGTTACAGTCAGATGATCCAATTCTTGCTGATAATGGTTTTAAAAGATCAACTGCACTGAAAAAGTTGCTATCTTGGAAAAATGATGTGTCAAAAGTTTTGGAGAAAACTGAATTTGAAATTGATATGCTTGAAAATGAACTCAAATCTATGACTTCTGGAATGGAAAACAAGTGGCCTTTTGGAGATCAAGGTGCTACTTGCAGTGGACCACATCAACATATTTCTTTGGAAATCGGTTCCTTTGAAGACACAAATGTGTACATAATAAATAATACAGCTGGAGCTGTCAAAGCTAAAACAGTGGATATTGATAGTCCTGGTAGTGCAACATCAAAGCATTTTGGAGTTCCTAGAACTGAAAAGGATGGATCAGTTTCAGAGCCCAAACATGATGAAGCTTTTTTGAAGTCTTCAGATTGCAGAGGTATAGACATGAAAAATAAAGGGGCTAGTTTTGAAGCGGAAATTGCAAACAATGCATCTGCTTGTAAAGATGCTTCTCATATGATCACTGCTGACCAGCAATGTTTTTCTGATGTTAATCTAGATTGTAATGATGCCTTGTGTGATTCAATATATGCTGCTAATCGGGAGTCTGCAAATAGAGTTGCTGAAGTTTTTAGAGGTTTATTGCCAGCAAAGGACTGTACTTATGACATTTCAAAAGCTTCCAGTTCTTTGTTGGCAGTTGATCCTTCAATTAAAGAAAAAATTGTTGAGAGGAAGAGGCAACAACAATTTAAGGAGAAAGTTCTTGCACTTAAGTTTAGGATCTTTCATCATCTATGGAAGGAAGAATTCAACATGCAGTCTTTAAGAAAATTTCGTTCAAAATCTCAGAAAAAGTTTGATCTGAGCATGCGTTATGTGCAGACAGGCCATCAAAAGCATCGCTTCTCTTCTCGCTCACGGCCTTCTGCTGGTAAGCAAGTTTCTTATTAAATATTTTTCAACAATAATTTGTTTAAAGTGGAGTATTAATTGTCTAGTTGAGTATTTGTTTATGATACAAACTCACTTCAGTATTTTATTAAGACAGTGTGTTTTAATTTAATTCCTCACCACTTCACCTGTTCAGTTTGACAAAGCTGTGCGCTCTTTTAGATGATGTATTTGTTCTTCAATGGAATTAGATATTAGGGCAGTTGGGAATTGGGATGTGGTCCTTTCATATATCACTGTCACTGTACTTTCAAACATTTCATGTGATGTGTAAATGAATTATAATTAATCAATAAAATAATTAGTAATATGGATAACAAAATTCATACCCAGAACATGAAGAAAATGTTCAATGTTTTGCAAGTAAATACATATATTGTTGTAGAAAGCATTAAATTGAATCCATCCACTAATACCTAAGTCCAAAATACCCTAGAAGTAGTGAAGTAACTATATGAGATAGGAGATTGGGTGGAGTGGGATAGGGGGCATAGGAGATAGTAAAAGTGCAGGCTCACCGAAGAGAACCCAGAGGCCAAAGGGGGCGGCAGAGAGCTGTGGACTGTTTATACTCTTGGAGATTATAGGGCCGTGCATGTTCTCTTTCTGCTTTTTAAATCAAAAAGTTTTTTTGGCCTTTCCAATCCCTGAGAATCTGAGTTAGAAAAACCAAGAAGAAGGTAATTTGTGTCTCTTAATAAATTGTATAATTGCTAATATGTGTGATTTGTAGCTGTGAATCACAATACTCACAACTACACTAGTAGTCTTGCCACATATTCCTTTAGTCTATCCTCTCTCCCTCTGTGAGTGCGCGTGCAACATATTTAATGGGTTTCAAATAATTTCAATTGTAATTTGATCCTTTGCACTATTTATTCTTTTGATAGTAATCCTCTAATCTGAGAGTAACATAGAATCACATTTTTTGCTTTCTTGAGACAAATTACTGTGTACTCTAAAGTCACCTGTACTCTTGAGACAAACACATGATAAAAGTCACCTGCATTCAATTTCTTATTTCTATTCTGAGCTACATTTTGCGAAGTGTTTATTTGTTATACTTTGACTGGTAGCGTCTTTTACTAACATTAATCATTGGCTGAATGCACTGTGAACCTTTTCATCTTAATGAGATATTTGCTTTGGCCCTTGTAGTTGCATTAGATCTTTAGGCATAACCAAGCTAAACTATACTTTGTCCTGTTTAATGGTGTGATGTACACATTAAACCATTACATGCTTTAGTAATTCAACATGAGCAGTTCCTTCTTGATGGAAATTAATGAGGGCATTTGTTTGCTTCTTTGATCTGGATGTTTGATCATCAATTTGAAATTGCATCAGCAAACCTAATTTATCACTTTTGGCCATTTTCAAGCAAATATATGTTCCCATTCTGGGCTTATATTATTTATTTTCTTTTCTTTTCTCTTTTTGTTCTTGAACTACTGAGGTGCTTTGTCTTCAGCCTTCACATCCACTGTTTGGTCTCTGTGCAACAAGTCTCAGTCTCATACTTTCATCTAGTAATGGCAGCTTCTGTCAATGGCTTCTATCTGCACTGTCACATACAACTAGTGATTACAGCCTTTGCCTGTTGCCAAACTGGGTTTTCTGAGTCTCAACTCTCTCATAGATGAGGAATGAGCATCATATATAATGGAGGAAGTGGAGGAAATGTGGCGACGGTTTCATCTCGGGTTCTCCTGCCTTCCTCTTATCTTCTGGCAATCAAAATAACTTTTAAAGATGTTATTGTTGTTTACGTTATTGAATATAAATGGTTTACATTCAATATGAATATCAAATACACATGCTGCTACTTTGGCTAAACCCCATGCTTTTGAGCTAGTTTTCTTTCATGATTACTGCTACATATTTAGAAGAAAATTATATTTGGGCTGTTCTTTTACAACTTTCTGTATCCCAGTATATGTTTTCTTTTCTTATTACTCATGCTTTTATGTTTATTATCTTGCAGTTGGAAATTTAAACCTGGTTCCCTCACCGGATTTGTTAAGCTTCACGAGCAGATTGCTCTCAAATTCCAGCACAGTGACACCATATAGGTGCACAGAACGAATGCCAGCTATGATTTTAGATAAGAAGGAGAAGTTGCTATCAAGATTCATTACAAACAATGCATTAGTGGAAGATCCTTGCTCTTCTGAAAAAGAGAGGTCATTGATTAATCCCTGGACATCAGAGGAGAGAGAGATTTTTATAGACAAGCTTGCCACATTTGGGAAAGACTTTGGAAAAATTGCATCATTTCTTGAACACAAAACAACAGCTGAGTGCATTGAGTTCTACTATAAGAATCACAAGTCTGGAGATTTCCTGAAAACCAAGAGCAAGCCAGGTTATGCAAAACAAGGGAAATCTAACTACCTTGTTGCGTCTGGTAAAAGATGGAACCGTGAATCCAATGCAGCCCCCTCCCTTGACATATTAGGTGAAGCTTCAGCTATGGCAGCCAAGGGCGATGAAGATGTCGGATTTCAGATGTGCTCCTCCAAATACCTTCTCGGAGAAAGTGAAAACAAACCATCAAACAGTGTTGATGTGTGTAACAATGACAGAGAGGCGGTGGCTGTTGACGTTCTGGCTGGAATATGTGGTTCCTTTTCATCCGAAGTTACATGTTCATGTATTACAAGTTCTATTGACCACGAGTGGAAACACCACAAAGTGAGCTCTTCAACCGTGAGGCCACCTGTGACTCTTGAGGTTATGCAACAGAACGTTGATGAAGAAACATATTCTGATGAAAGTTGTGGGGAGATGATGGACCCCGCCGATTGGACCGATGAGGAGAAACTCTCCTTCATTCAGGGTGTCTCATCATACGGGAAGGATTTTACCATGATTTCCAGATTTGTGAAAACAAGATCAAGAGACCAGTGTAAGGTCTTCTTCAGTAAGGCCAGGAAGTGTCTTGGACTTGATGCACTCATTAATCCTGAACCTGGAATTACTGCTGGAGAGGATGGTCATGAGGGCGACAGAAGTGATGATGCTGAAGGTGCTGCTTGTTTGCTAGAAATGGACTCCTCCATATGTATTGAGAAGAAATCTGATATCCATGTACAGTCCCCAATATTGACAAGGCCGAGAGACCTGGATTTGGCAGATGGAAGACGAGATGCTAAGCCTGACCTTAACTGCTCTAATGATGGTGTAGTGGACCTGGATTCTGCAGATATTGAGCACATATCTTATGCATATGATGTGGACAAGGAGTTGGAATCTGACAGGGATGTTGAGAACAGGATTAACAAAGATGTGCAGTGCGATGGAAGCATGATATCCTCTTGCCAAGAAGGTGAGAAAGCTGATACTGTTCATGATTGCCCTCCTGTGAAAATCCCTCCTGATGTTGGTGTTGTCGATGTTCTTGTCCAGAATTCAACTGAAGATTTAAGGGGCCCACTGCTCGACTGCAGTTTGAGCGAAAACATTAACGTCCCGGTAGCCATGTGTGATGATACTTGCACCATCACTGAATCTGGTTCCAGAGTGTATGAGTGTCTTACGAAGGCTGCTGCCAACTCTAATGAATCAGATGCCAGGCTGAAGTCTGATGTCAGCAGCTCTATGCTGGCAAACAACAGTTCAGTTCCTACTCTATCAAAAATGTCTGACGATTCTACTGTCACCATTGCTTCTGAGGGTTGTTCTGGTGTTGATGGTATGCTGGCAAATCTCAGTCCATCAGAACATGTTGGTGATATAAAGATTCAAAAACCACAAGTAGTTGTTGCTGGGCAGCAGCAGCAGCTTCCAGGGTCATCAACAACCATAAAAGAGAATGGAGCCTCGGATATTTGTTGGAGGTCAGGTAGGGTCACAACCTCTGCTGATTGCATCCTTCTAAAATGCAGCAGCAGCAGCGGCAGTTCAAAGCATGGTAGCTCTTTGGGAATGGAAAAATCCAGCACAAGTGGTGATTTTAAGCTGTTTGGTCAAATTCTTAGCAAACCCTCTTCTTCCTCTCAACAGAATTCAAGTAGTAGTTGTAACAGCAGCACACAACGGAAGGAGGAACAGAGCACTTCTCTTAAAGACAATGACATTAAGTCATCCATTTGTGCAGCAGATGGTGTTTCTTCTTCCACTTCTCCTGGAACTTTTCGCAGCTCATCTGAGAATCATCTCCCATTGAGGAGTTACAGCTATTGGGGAGATGGGAACATGATACAAAATGGGGGGTTCTCTACTCTACCTCCTGAGTCTGCCATCCTATTGGCAAAGTACCCTGCTGCTTTTGGAAATTTCGCAATGACATCATCATCAGTAACTACAAAAGGGGACGGAGTGGTGACAAATAGCGAACGGGGCTTGAATGGTGTTGTGCCTGTTTTCCCCAGAGAAATACTAGTCAACGGGAATGGGGTGGCTGCAGATTTGGGGTTTAGAAACAGAGAAGTGCAGGCTTATGATGTTGTCTCAGGCATGCCGCAAGGAAGGGGCAAACTTGGAATTAATGTTGTGGCGCGAGGAGGGGGCATTCTTGTTGGGCAATGCAGTGGTGGCCTTTCAGATCCAGTTGTGGCTGCTGCTGCTATCAAGATGCACTATGCCAAGGCCGATCAGTTTGGGGAAGAGGATGCATGGAGAGGTAAGACGGGTGAATTAGGCAGCAGGTTGTAGCAGTAGTTGGGGCGGGCTTTGTCCCCCTCCGCAGTGGCAAAATTTCACCTCTTTTGCTTGCTGCGATGTACTATATAGCTTTTTGTAATTTGATTGAGCAGATAAAATGATAGTGCAGTCTTTTTAGAGGTTTTTTAACAGAATCCCTAGGTTGGTTTGGTCATTTTTTTTTCTTTTGGTTTTATTTAATTTTTAAATATATAATGCCAGCATCTTTTGTATCTTTGTTGTATTTGTTGATGATAATGATATGATGGGATACAGCAATAATATGTGTTCTTTCAAGTTGCAGCTGTGTTTCTCTTAGAGGACTGGTGTATCATGCATTGCCCTGTATTGTAAGGTTGGAGTGTGAATATACACATATACGAATGGAGTATACCTGCACTATAAGTAAAAATGGGAGCGATTGCTTTGTTTTGTTTTAGAATTCATTTCTGTGCCATGACAATAAACGGTATATCACTAAATGAAGACTTTACTAATTAAACCTTAAATCTTGTGTATTAAATTGCATTCCTTTTTTTTTTTTGAATTTTTTCGAATTGAGGATCTGGATTCTGGATTAGCAACGGATCAAGGACAAAGGACATTAACTTGGACTCTAGAGCACAAATGATTAGATTGTCTGTCTAAACGTAAAATATCAGATTTTTTATTTGATAAGTTTCTAATTGTTTATGTCAAATTGTCAAGTAGTTGTCAACTATCAATGACTTATTGACCTATTCTTCCCTGGAAACACAATGTATTAATGTTTAACGAATCAGATAATATTAAAATGAACTGAACATACGAAGACACATGTTCTATACTGCCTCTGAACTTGTTCAATTTACCTGCACGGGTAGCTCAATTGGTTGAGTGTGGAAAGTTGAGAGAATGATCAATGATCGAAACTCGCAGCGGTTGTGTGGAAGTTACAATTCCTGCATGCTGGGATGGACCTCTGATGCACACGGGCACAAAGTCTATCACCATTGAATCAACTGAGTCACATTACTTGCAACCTCCCAAAAGTCTTGTTGCATTGAGGTGTGGGGGCTCTTGGGGTTGGGAATTCAACATTAGAACTTATTCAATTTAGTAGACGGCGAGTCCGATGGAGGTGACGTTTCATTAATGGTGTCACCATCCAAATTATCAATACTTCATTATGAGGCAACATTTCACACACAAAACATCACACGTATGTTCTATGCGTGCTCCAAAATCTGCCATTAAGTATGTCTCAACGTGTCTACAATATTATTGGGGATATCAAAACATCCTTTTTAAAGGCACCCTCTGTAATATACCACTACCATGGTCCATGGCTCGACTCAAGAGTACTTTTGCAATTGTAATAGTTACTTTTCAAGAAATTTTCGACGTTTTTCACAGTTCCAAAAAAGATATACATTTTCCATCAATCTTCCATATTGGCGTTTTAGAGCCATAAGGTTCTAAATCTAATCATGCTGATATTTAGTGGGGCTGTGGGGAGTTGTCATTCTCATTTGCCATAGGTCTCTATTGATGCATGTGTTATGTATGCGTGTGTATAATGTCTTAATTTAACAATAGTTTAAATTTAGTGTTCATGAAGAAATAAGAGAAACACTGCTTTTAGTATTAAGATTAATTCAGTTATATAAAAAAAATGACACCCAATCTCTAAGATTAGTTTATTATAATAAAAAAAAGAATGACACGCTATCCCTGAGACCTCTCCAAAACCGATCGGACGCCAAGAAGATATAAATTGATCTTTGATCACACACGGATGGAAATGGATGAGTTCCGTTCCAAATCTTTGCTTGGAGACGAACCCAAAAGAGAAAGTATTGGGCATGTTACATTACTAAACCAAAAGTGTAACATGTTCCGGTCTAAATCACTGACGAGTTAGTTTATTTACAGAAGCAAATCCAAATTGAGCTTGAATAAAATAGTGAAAATAAGAATGCAAGTTGAATTCAATCTAGTGAAGTTTCTGATTTTTTATACTCCGGCTTGAGCTCGTAACTCCCTTGGTTTGTCCCTTTATTGTTGTACACACACAGCAGTTTCAGCATGTCTTTCACAAATTGCTGCGACAAATTCACAAAGAATCATAATTATTGAGAGAAAGATCCTCAGGACCTGCCAAACTGTAAACATGAACCGAAGGGATTGACTAGGATGACAAACCTCTGGTTGGTCGGTCTCTTGAATAAGCTGTTTTAATGTCCAGTTTGGTTGCCTCTCAAACAGTTTAAACATAATTTCTTCCATTTCATCGCGATCTCTTCTGGTTCTCTTCAGTTCTGATCCTTTTGCAGAACCTTTCCTCTTTTCCTAATAAATAAACATCATCCATGACTAGTTTACT